ACTGTCTTTATCTCACGCTGAATCTGGAACACCCTCATGTGCTATCATCCTGAATCACTGTCTTTATCTCACGCTGACTCTGGAACACCCTCATGTGGTTCTCAGCTCTAGCATAGGTCTTCTTTAGCTTTGTCCAAATGTCACTCACCTTTCGAATGTCATCTACTGATGAGGCAATCGATGAAACCATCGAGTTCAGTAACCAGGTGAAAACAAGACATGTGTGGTTTTCCACTCATTCTTCTCAGCATTGTCCCTTTTTGGTCCAACCCCAATCAAGTATCCTTCGAAGTCTCTTCACTACTAGAGCGGCCTTGATCCGATGCGACCAACTTAGATAGGTGGTCAGTCCATCGAGCTTCAAATCCACAACAGGGAGATCTGGCTTTACCTATGTCGGGGCATGTGTTGGGGTAGTGGCTCTCGTAGAGACGCTAACTCCCTGTATGGGCCCGACCAAGACCTTTAGAACTTAGTGATCCATCTTTCCTAGAAATTTCAATCCCTTACCTCCTGCACTTTCTCAGTCTCTTGAAGGATCAAGTCTAGGTAACACACAACTTCCTTCTCGCTAGCTCGAACGATTCGCTTTGCCTTAGCTTGCACGAAGTTGTCTGTCCTTCTTGCTGCAAAAGGCTGCATGTCGCTCTATCCTAGCTCGCGCTCTTCCCGTGTGATTCATTCCTTCTCCTTCTTACCATCACAACCCCGAGACCGCTCCTTACTGTGTTGCACCTTCTTCCGTGCCTCCCTTCCGCAGAAGTCCCCGAAAGGCTGCACACCTTCTTCCGCGTCTCCCGCCTCGCGCAGAAGCCTTCGAAGACCTCTCACCATGTTCGCACGGCTCAGCTTGCGATCCTATCGAGACAGGTGCGGTCCAAACTTCTGGGAAGGCGATAGACGATGTGCTCACAATCCTGCCGAGACAGTCTTGATCGAAGCACAGGGAAGCCTGTGGTGAAGAGTGAGCTGCTAGGGTAGACTCTAATACCAAGTAGAAATTACTGCTCAAAAAATCAACTCATTTCATTAACACTTTGGCTTATATAGAGCCTTGCAAAATTTACAAATAAACCCCTTGACTTCTTCCATTTACAAATAGAACCCTACATTAGATACAAATCTCAACACTGTTGTTTTACAAGCAAAGGTGGGGTATTTGCCATATTTTTTGTATTAAAAATCAAATGTATCACAAAAGGGAAAAAATGGGAAAAAAAACTTTTATAATGCTTTCTTCAAATTCTAATATTTCTCTCTTAAAAATTTTTGAAAAAAAATTGTTTGACCAAATTTAAATGACCCATATTTTCTTGCTCCATTTTCAAATTCTCTATTATTTAGATTTAAAAATTGAGAAAGTTAGAGGGCGGGGCGGGGCGGGGCGGGGTGCGAGATTCCAGTCATTCATGAATTTAAAATTTTGAAATTCTTTATAGATATATTTTTTTCCTATTTAAATTTTTTAAATCTCTAACAGTAAATAGAAAAATATTTTGAAATAATTCATTGCCATGTTTTATTCATGTTTATAATTTTTCTCTCCACTTATTTTTTTTAATATACATATGACATTAAATTTAGATGTTGGCCTTTAGACTATGTTTTTGCATCATACTCAAATTGTCATATTTAACTCAATTTATCCTTAAAGAGTTGGTAAAAATTTGGATAATTGCCAATCGATGCTAAAGAACTCAAGTTGAACATAACCTTAATTACAGGATCCCAAGTATAGGAATGCATAGTTTCATACATAACCCCCTATCCACATTGTAAAATAGATGGAGCTTGGTGCACTTATTTGTGCCTTTGTATTTGCACAAGCAAAATAGTCTCATAATAAATATTAAAAGGATGAATTACTCTCATTAATAGAACTCCAGTTAACATATCCTATAGCTACAATGATCATGAATATTGTGATGCATAATTCCATACAACAACCTCTCCCTTGATGGTGAATTATCTCAAGTTTTGTACTCTAGTCAAGTCCTTTTATTTGCACAAGCAATTAGTCTCATGAAGTGACAGGGGAGTAAGTTTGAACTAGACAATTGGACCGGTCCTAATGAGGGGTGGGAGGCTTGATCGGCCACTTGGGGTTGGGATTTGCCGCCCAACACAATTGGAGCCCTCCTTTGTTGCCTAATAGTATTTATGGGTGTTCTATAAGTTCTAGATTTAGTTTTGATTTCAGATTTTGAGCAGGACAACCGCAAACATCCATGTCTTCCTCTATAGGGTTGTATTTGAAGGCGAGAAGGTGCTCCAGTTGTAACTTGTCCCAAGTTAGTGTTTATCTATCCTTCCTGACTTCTCCGCTCTTCAATTTAGTCTCCTCACTTGCTATCTCTCTACTGTCGGCCCTCTCCTTTGTAGTTTCCTTTCCATCAACCCTCTTATATGTTGTCTCCTTGCAGTGAGCCTTCCAACCTACTACTCCCTTTGCCTTCTGCCTTCCATACATGTTGTCCTTTGCCTCCTTTAGCCCTCCTGCCTTTTAGTCCATTGCCACTAGCCCCTCTTTTACCGCTGTCCTTTCCGTTTAGTCTTCCAACAAGCTGTCCTTTGCTGTTAACCACCCCAACCATCTTCTCCCCGACCCCCTTATCTGTTGTCTCCTTGCAGTGAGCCTTCCAACCTACTACTCCCTTTGCCTTCTGCCTTCCATTCATGTTGTCCTTTGTCGTTTTTAGCCCTCTTACCTACTAGTCCATTGCCACTAGCCCCTCCTTTACTGCTGTCCTTGTCGTCGAGTCTTCCAACCAGCTATTAACCACCCCAACTATCTCCCCCCCCCCCCCCCCCCCCCCCCCCCCCCCCCCCCCCCAAAATCCAAACCAAATAATTTTAAGAAAAAATAGCCTTTCCACCATCTTTGAATTCCGCCCTAATTTGGTATTTATTTTGTTTTTGTCGTCATATTTTCTTTTTGTTGTGATCTTGTAACTCTTATTTGTTTTTTCTATTATGGTTTGGTTAACACTTGTTTTATTTGGTATCAGAGCTAAGCTCAACCCTAGTTGTATCATAGGATTTCTAGCATCTGCCATACCCAAACTCATCTCTAACCAAAAAATTTTTTTTCTCACTCTTCACACCTTCCACCTACCAACCTGACCACCTTAAACCCTAACCATACCGCTGAGAAGGCAATTACCAGAACCAGAGTAGGATATTACCATGAGTGACATCCGGAGGATACTACGCCGAGTGCTTTAAAGGCTCGAGACCATTGAGGAAAGTATCATGGGCGAAGTCACCAGCCGTAACAGTGAGATCTGGGGAGGAGAATTGAAAAGAACAGCTGAACCACTTTTGTAGGGATGACTTTAAAGAAGAGGGCTCTTCAAAATTCAACATCATTGGAGACCGAGAAAGGAAGTGCCTGTTGGAGGGCACAGAGATCTGGGAGTTAAGGCGGACCTGTTGATCTTCGATGGGAGGATGAATCCTCATAATTTCCTTAAGTTAATGTAGATGTTTGAGCGGATCTTCGAATACAAGGATATGCTCGATGATAGAAGAGTGAAACTAATTGTCATCAAGTTGACGAAGTATGTTTCTTTGTGGTGAGAGAACTTGGAGAGGGAGAGATAGAGGGAAAGACAAAATAAAATCGCTTCTTGGGAGAAAATGAAGAAGGCGATGCAGCGATAGTATCTACCCCTACACTATTGTCTGAATATTTTCATGAAATTCCACTATCTGTAGCATAAGGAGCTATTAGTGGAGAGAATACATGATAGAATTCATACAACTCAAGTTGAAATATGAATTGGAAGAAGCAAAGGTGAATTCCATGGCCTGATATTTGGGTGGCCTAAAACCCGTCATCAATAATGTAGTTCTACTGCAAACCAACTAGACATTGAGGGACGTGCAAACCTTAGCGCCAAATGTGGAAGGATAACAAAAGCAACAGAGGCACCCACTTTAATTCAAACAACCACATGCTTGGAGCAAAGGAAAGAACTGGATAGCGAACTAATAAGGCAGATCAGATTGGGAAGAAGCTTGAGAAAAGCAACATGCCGGGTACAGTTCTAGCCGGGAAATGCTTCTGATGCCACATATATGACCACGCCATTTCCAGCTACCCGATGAGTCGGGCGGTGTCATTCACTATGCAGAGTGCCGTGGAGAGAGTGAGCGATGAAGAAGTGGCTGAGGATGAGGAATACGCCTTCCAGGGAGATGATGGGGAAATGCTAGTAGTACAAAGACTTTTGCAAACGAAACCGCAGAGGTTTCACTCGTGGTTGAGGCATAGTTTCTTTCGCTCCTGGTGTTGAAGTCTAGTTGATAAAAAATGAATTCTATGAATAAGATCTCAACATATATCTATCTCTTTAGAGATTGAATTGTTCCTTTCACCTCAATGAATTTTGTTTCGATTCTTTGAAACACTAAAAAAAATTCATAAAATATCTCCAACCTTTCAGTAAAAACTAATAAATACTTTTTTTGTCAGAGCAAAGTAATGAGATCAATTATCTACATTAACTTTGCGAGCATTATTTACGGAGCAAAAATATTGAAGCCAACTAAACAAGCCAAACAGCCTGCCAGGTACTAGGAAAAAGAAGTTTTCAGTTTCTTTAGGGGGAAAACAGCTGGGTTGAAACTACAAGACAATCCTGTTTTTGATCTTATCACAATTCCTATAATAGTTTTAGCCTGCATTTATTATGTTTTTCTTTTAATATGCATGTTCTTTTAGTTGATTGATTATTTTTCTTTTGGGGCATTTACATACATACCACCCAATTCCTATGTATTTACATATCTAACACCTAAATTGTGCTTTTTACATTTACACCATCCAAATCAGTCATATCACATAATTATACCATTATTTTAACTTTTAAGAAGTGATTACAGCTTCCCATGCATGGGTAAGATAGTATGTCTGTAAAAATTAAATATTAGATGTTAGATGTGTAAATACATAGGAATTTAGGGGTATCTATGTAACTTTTTCTATTCTTTTCTAGGCTTGGATGCTTTATACAAGAAAAGAGACCATGGACATGCTTGATCCTGCATTGAGATCCACTGCAGACGCTGCGCAGGTGGCTATGTGCGTTCACATTGGCCTCCTCTGCACCCAGGCTAACCCAAAGTTGAGGCCTGATATGCGCCGTGTCGTAGTGCTTCTTTCTAAGAAGCCCAGCACGCTCAAGGAGCCCATCAAGCCAGGGACACCTTATTTCAAGCCCAAAGGAATATCCCATGGCCTCAGAAATCCGAGCTACACGACAGGTGAATCTTCTGGTGTATCCTCTTTTGCCTCTAACATTGCTTTGGAGCCCAATCTTAACAATACTGCGACCACTTCCTCTCCGTACTCTGCTACCACCATGACCAGAACCGCTACCGCCACCAATACCACCACTTCAAGAAGCTTAGTACTTAATACCATATAGTACTAATCTCTAACATCGACATAAAATGTTAGATTCTCACCTTAACTTCTTTCATTTGCTTCATGGCCTGCATTCTTTTGGGGAGTGAAGGTTTTCCCCCTTGCAATGTATCATTTTAGCTGTAGTCTATAGGTTTTGTTATTCATTTTACTGAGTATTATCACCTTTTATTTCTTTTTATCTACTCATATTTGAAGATTTTTATATGATTTTATCCCCAACGACTGTAGATAGTATAAATATTAAGAGCTTAGGATGTGGCTTGTATTCTTTCGTATTACATCATTTGGCTGCGGGCTGTAAGTTGTACTACTAAATTTTGTTGAGTGTTGTTCTCTTTCCTTTCATTTTAACTATTCATATATGAAGGTTCATGATTTCCTCTTTGAACTTGTAGATAATGCGCTTAAATCATAAATATCAAGAAAATTTTCTTCTACTTTCATTTAGTTCCAATCTAAATTAAAGCCAATATTTGCACCCTCTCTTCCTCTAACCCTGTGGGTGGCCACTTATATTTAGTTAATATTATTTCCTAATAGCATACACCACTTTCATCATTTTCTAATATTATGATAGAATTTTAGAATATAAGTACTCTCAATGGTAAATTAAATGAATTAGTTGATATTATGATTCATAAAAAGATAGATATCTAATGTATTCAAGAAGCTAAATGGGTTGAAGAAAAGACCAAGGAGATTGATAACTTAGGTTTTAAACTTTGGTATTCTTGTAATAGTCTCACTAGAAATGGTGTAGGTGTAATTATAGATAAGAGTTTGAATAATATTGTTGTAAAAAATAGTAGAGTTAGAGATAAAATTATTGCTCTTAAGATTATTATTATTGATACTGAGATTTTTAATATTATAAGTGCTTACGCTTCTAAAGTAGATTTAGATATAAGTTGCAAATCTAAATTCTGAATTGAATTAGTAGACTTAATACAAATGATACTTCTTGAAGAAAAAAATTTTATTGGAGGTGATTTAAATAGATATGTCAGTAGAGTGGTAGAAAATTTCAGAAATATTCATGGTGGCTACGGTTTTAGAGTGATTAATGAAGAAAGTAGAGCTATATTAGATTTTGCTTTTACGTATAATTTTGTTATTATTTATACTTTATTCAAGAAAAGAGATGAGCATCTTATTACTTATAAGAATTGATCTAATAAAACACAAATTGATTATTTTCTTATGAGAAGAAGAGATCGTTCAGATAGTAAAGTCATTCCAAGTGAGAATTTAAGTACCCAACATCAATTATTAGTTTTTAATTTTAAAATGAAGAGTTGTAACATAAAGAATATTAGGATTCATTATCGTAGAATTAGACGAGAGTACCTAAAAGGCACAAATAAAACTATTTTTATGAGTAAAATTTAAAATCTCAAAATTTTGGATGTTCATGAAAAAATAAATGTTATGTGGGATAAAGTAACAAATACTATTAAATAAGTGACAAAAAATGTACTCGAAAAATCAAAAGAAAAAGTTTCTATAAATAAAAATAGTTGGTGGTGGAATAATAATGTACAAGAAAAGATAAAATATAAGAAGTTACATTATAAAAATTGGTTTAAATGCAAAATTTTAGAGAATTGAGAAAAATATCAAATGACTTGCAGGGAATTTTAAAAAAATAATTTGTGACGCTAAAAATTCTATTTTTAGTGGTTTTTATAATAGATTGGATGCTAAGGAGGGTGAACAATATATGTATAAACTAGCCAAACAAAGAGAAAAGAAAAGTAAAGATTTAACTCAAGTGTATTAATGATGAAAAGAAAAAAATTATTTTTCATAGAAAAATATATTCAACATAAGTGGGTGAGTTACTTTGATAAACTTTTAAATGAAATTTCTTAAAATATGGTCGACCTTAGTGATCTTATTATTGTTAATAATAATAAAACGTTTCATTTTTACTGTCACATTAGTGAAAAAGAAGTTGATGAGACTTTAAAGAAAACCAAGGGTGGAAAGTTTGTAGGTCCTGATGATATCCCAATTGAAGTGTAGAAATATTCAAGAGATTTCTTGGCTTACTAATGTCTTTAATATTATTTAAAAAACTAGAAAGATGCCTGAGGAGTGGATGAAGAGTATTTTGGTCCCCATTTTTAAGAATAAAGGGGATGCACAAGAGGTGCAAATTATAGAGGACATACGTTGATGTGACATACTTTAAAATTATGGGAGAGGGTAATTGAACGTAGGTGAAGGCCTATTACAAAGATTTCTCATGATCAGTTTGGATTTATGCCGGACAGGTCCGGACAGGTCTACTATAGAAACTATGGAAGCTATACATTTATTGAAAGGTTTGATGGAGAAATTCAGAGATAATAAGGAGGATTTACATTTGATTTTATTGATTTAGAAAAAACTTACGATAAAATTTATAAAAAGCTTACGATAAGGTTCCAAGAGATATCCTTTGGATATTTCTTGAGAAGAAAGGTGCTGATATGATTTATAATCAAGTCATTAAAGTTATGTATATTAGAGCTGTTACTTGTGTTTGAATTGACCAAATTTTTTTCTATTTCTATGGGATTACATCAGGAATCGGCTTTAAGCCCATATCTTTTTGCTTTAGTTATGGAGGCTCTTACTAGAAATTTACAGGTGGATGTACCTTGGTGTATGTTTTTTGCTAATGATATCCTTCTTGTGGATAAGATGAGAGAAAAAACCCAGGAAAAAAATGAATTATGGATGTCTGTATTGGAGTCTAAAGGCCTTCGTTTGAGTAGAACTAAAATTGAATACATAGAATGTAATTGTAGTAGTAGTAGCTCTAGGTAGTAGTAGTAGCTCTAGTAGCTCTAGTGACAGAAGTGTAACTTTGGGTAATCAAATTATTAAAAGTTTTGATTGATTTAGGTATCTCGGGTCTATTGTTCAAAGCGATGGTGATATAGATGGGGATGTTAATAGTAGAATTCAAGTTGGTTGGTTGAAGTGGAGGAATGCTTGAGACTTATTGTGTGATAGAAAAGTATTATTAGACTGAAAGGAAAATTTTATAAGATGGCGGTGAGTCTTGCAATGCTCTATGACCCTGAATGTTGGCCTTTAAAAGAGATGCATACTACTAAGGCAGGTGTTGCCGAGATGAGAATGATTAGGTGGATGAGTGGCTTTACACTTAGAGACAAAATGCGAAATGAATATATCCGTGATAGGGTTGGTGTAGCTCCAATGTTGGACAAAATTAGAGAATGTCGTCTTAGATAGTTTGTTCACATTAAACATCAACCATCTGATGATCCGATTAGGAGAATAGATGTTTTAGATTCAACATATGTTAATAAAGACAGAGGTAGACCTAGTAAGTCTTGGGCTTATTGTATAAAAAATGATCTTAGTTTATTAAAATTAAATGAAAGTATGACACTAAATATGATGCAATGGAGAAAAAGGATTCATGTAGCCGACCCCACTTAGTGGGATTAAGGCTTTGTTGTCGTTGGATACAACATTTTTAACTTCCCAAAATCCTAATTTGTCTCGTATTCTTTTGTCATAAGCTTCACAAATATTTTAACTTTCCTCAATACCAAAAAAATTATCATATCACCCAGTTCTTTCACTTCATCTTATTTGTCTCTCACCACCTCATTCCCTACTCCCACAAATATGCTCAACTCGAACAAAAATCATTCACCCAATATCCTTACATAGCCTGATCAACCACACTCTTATTTTACAACACTTAGTGTCCTTTAATGAATGGCCCAGTTTTTTTAATTTATGAGTCATTCTTAGTTAATTTCTTAAAAGCATATTGGATGAGTAAGAATTTTATGATATACATTAATATCTTCAATAGATGCATTTCCTTATGATTAATTATCCCTTTTGACCATGTGAGAAAAGTTTCAATTTAGTATAGCTGACAAGCTATGACCATTTAGCTTAAAGAAGCAATAATTTGATTTTGGATAAGATATGTATTAGCCTTAGCATAAAGCAATGGTAATCAAATGATGAAAAATCCAATTGAGATATCTTGTTCGTTCAACTAAGGTTGTCATAAATTTTATAGTGTACTTGATTATCAAATATTGTCGACCCAATTTTATCTAAAAGTCCTTATCAACAATTATGAGTTGCATCGTCTAAGGATATCTCATATATATAGGATCGGTTTAATGATTATGTTTGGTGGATGAAATAACCTAGAAGGTCTTTACTTGGTTATGTCTTATGCCCTTCAGTATTGATTGTCGTATTCAACGGGCTCAAAGAGAATAAATAGCTATTATGAGATTTCTAGTTGACCTCAAATCTCAGTATGAAGATGTCAATTCACAAATTTTATTCGATTTTGGATGTACTACTATGAGGGAAGCCTATAATAGAGTACTAAGTATGATTCCGAGTTCTCAAGCCTCATCCGTATAACAACCTAGTGCTCTTGGTATTCTGAAAAATACAGACATTAGTAAATCTCAATATTAGGATAATTACAAAAAGGGAACTTCGAGTTATGGAAATGAAGGGTTGAAGGTAGTGCATTATTATTGTTATGAATATGGTCATACAAAGATGATGTGTCAGAAGTTGTTGAAAAAGAACCAGAAGGTTCTAAATTACAGTAAACTTACATAGTCATGACTAATGAGACTTCTCAGAGTCAGAATCTCTCGATCTCTGCAGATGAATATGCTAAGTTCATCAAATTTCAGGAAGCATCGAAGAAATCTCACTCTATCCCTGTCCTTGCTGAGTCAGGTAACAATGATGCTTGCATTCTTTCCTCTTACACACAATGGGTCATTGATTCTGGTGTTATAGATCACATGATAGATAATCTAAAACTCTTTTTTATCTTTCGTATTCACATTTCTTTCGTCACTTTAGCAGATGAATCTACCTCTAATATTCTTGGTACTAGCACCATCAATGTTACACTTATATTGCCTCTGACTTATGCCCCCAATTTGTTTCAATTCGCTTTTAATCTTATTTTTGTTAGCAAAATTACGCATGCTCGTAATTGTTGTATCTTGTTATTTCCCGTATATTGTCTGTTTTAGGATCTAATGACAAAAAAAATATTAGTAAAGGATGAGAATGTGGGGCATGGGTTGGGGGGTTATATATTTTGGATGTTGAGGTATCTTGACCTGTAGCCTGTTCCAACACTTTATCTACTTTTGAGATCCATTCTGAAAAATTGTACCCTCGATTTCAATATTTATCATCTTTAGAACGTGAGATTGTGAGTCGTGTCAATTTGCTAAACATCTTATGTTCTCAGAATTAATAAGAGTCA